ACACACACAGATACTTTTTTTGACTGGTTTGAAGGGAGAGGAAAAAATCAAAGGAAAAGAGCTGGGTTACACATCTGGGTCAGCGCTGCACAAAGAGAAGGAAACTGCCGTGAGCTGTAAGTTCCGAGGAAGCAAGAACCCAGAGCAGACGCGACCGTAGGCCGCATGCCCCTCCCCCTGTCCAGGACAAGAAGCACGGAAATCGGTTATGGGAAAGCGGAGGGAGTGCTTTGGATTTGCCACAGGTTTGTAGGATGGAGGTTGTTTAGCTTTTATTTTATTTAACTCTCTAAGAAAGGTGACCTCAGCTGGCGCCTGAGTTACAGGATTTCTTCTCAGTATCCCTGATTTCGAGACTGCAGTACTGGTCAGCATTTCCACGTGTCCATGCAGAGGCTCCTTAATTTCAATATGAGCTTCTGGAGAATGAAGGCTTTCTTTCTTTTGACCCCTTGCTGCCTATGGTATGGTGAAGTACCTAATACGTTACCTGAAATTCCATCATGATAGGTTTATTTCTCAAGATGTCCAAGGACAGAGGCCAAACATATCAGGCCTGAATCACGGTGGCACGCACTGTTTTGTCTGCCTCCTGGACAGCTTTGCCCTTCCTCTTTCGCAAGAGCACCTCAATTTTATTTAGATATCTGCTTGCCTCCTCCTGATCTTGGCCCCAGGAGGGATCTGACTGATCCAAGCCATGAGGGTAGTCCTGTTGTCCTTCCTGGAGAGTGATTCCGGCCAGAGTGTGCAACGTGTTTGGGGTCAGTGAGACACGGAGAGGCTGTGGGCGGGCATTCAAGGAAAGGTTCCTCTACTCGAAAAGTAAATAAATGACCCAAGGAAGAAATGGACATTGTCACATCTTTGTATAATGCCTGAAACTATGTCTTATACCTTGCAACCAAACGTAAGGGTTGAGCTAACAGAGACCAAGAAAACGTATCAGGGACGGCAGAGCAGAAAGATGGAAGGAGTCTGGGTTTTTTATGACATTGCTAAGCTGCCAAATTAACTCCACCTCGGGTTTTCCTACTGCAGAACTTTCTTGGGTCAGGATTTTGTTTCTTAGAGCTGAAAGCTCTATTCTAAAGGATTGAATTCTGAAGGATTCAACATTGTTCAGTGAATTTCTCAGTAGCAAAGTGATTTCTTGCCATCCCGCTGAGAACATAGAGAAAGACATGTAGGGAACCCCAGGAGGAACTTGAGAGTCCCAGCCAGTGACAGGCCGTGGCTTTGAGATAGAGAATCCGATTCCAGAGCTTTCTGTTCTTTCAGCTCCTCAGTGTTGTCTTGAGGTTGGGAGCCCACGGTAAGTTAAAAACGGCCAGATTCTTTGCAGCTTCTCGCTATAAGAGCCTGAGTCTGCTTCCCCACTGCTTGAACCTGGCCTCTTTTGCCCAGTAGAATGTAGCTAAGTGACATGATTCTGAGCTTGGGCCTCAAGTGGCCTTGCAGCTTCTGCTCTCGTCCTCTTGGAATATAAGCGCCTTCTGGAGGTTGAAAGAGCACAAAGAGAAGGAGGCCTGGCCCTCCTAGCTGAGGCCCCAGACACGTGAGTGAGCCCGGCCAATGCTAAAGGAGCCACCCCAGCCCAGTCTAGCCCAAACTGCTAACCCACAAAATTATGAGCAAATAAGCAATTGTTTTAAGTCGCAGTATTTTGGAGAGGTTTGCTGTGCAACAATGGAAAAATGGGACAGAGCCTACACCCAAACTAGGGGAATAATTTAACTGGAAACGAATTTCAACCCATTATTTCGTCCAAATGGTGTAACCCATTCCAGAACAACCTGAAAAAAAAAAGTTGCTGGTTCAAATGATGGTTCAACCAACGTGTTATTATATCATCTTCTTTTATTTGAGAAAAACGTAGGAAAAAGTATTTCATCTCCAATTTTATTTGTCCTAAGAAACCACCCAATACCCAACAGACCAATGTGCTGGTTCTGACGGAGCTGGAATTGGTTGTCTAGTTTGGACCCCTGGAGCTGGTCTCAGCTGGTTTGGGTCTGTTATGAGCTGGTTGGAAGATATGTCTTAGTATCTTTAATTAGGATTCTGTTGAATCTAAAGGAACTGAAACCAAACCTGAGCAGACCTCCACTGTCAAGAGCTTGTCTCAGCTCGCTCACCAACTCCCCCCCGCTATAAATTATATACATTCTGTACTCGTAGGGTCACCTTCCCTTTGTGGTAGATCCCAAATTCCAACCTCTAACAGTGCTTACAGAGATGCGCCATCTTTGACTTTAAATTGTGCAAGTGCTGCAGAAATGGACATAAGAATGTGGCATTCAGCAAAGAGGAAGATTTATTATTCCCTTCAAGGCGCTGAAAGACCTTGATTCTTCTTCTGTCAATATTTCTTTCTCTTGGGTCAATATTTTTTGATATCTATCTCAGTAGAAGTCAATGTCTTCTTATTAATCTCTTTTGATGATAACCATTGCTCTGAGCCAGTGACCCGCAGTGTGTGGGACCAGAAGGCTGATCTGCAGCTGGGGGCCTGGAGCATTGGAGGGTGGCAGTTTGGTCTTTCGCAGGCTCTGCATGCATCACTTGCCCGTGGATCGCTATTTAGATGTGGCGATGTAGATATCATGTAGATATCATGATGATTTTCAATATAAAAGTAACATTGTAAACTAACTAGAACATGCAAAAGATATAAAGAAAAAAATTATTTCCTGTAATTCCCATAACCAGAGATAACCACAGATTTTTCTTCTACAAGTGTATACATATATGGAGAGATGTATATACCTGTGCACATGTATAAAAAAATAATTAAAGTTATATTATATAGAAATTTTTCTGCTCTTTGCTCTTGACTTCATATAGTAAATTTTTTCTCTGTTTTCTTACGTGTACTTATGAGGACACGCTCTTTAATGTTGCATAGTATTCTAGTATGTGCTTCTGACACATGAGGGGAAGGGATTGCTTGCTAAAGGACACAGACATTTGGGGGAATAATGGAGATGTTCTATATCTCAATTTTGTTGGTTGTCATAGGACAGCACACATTTGTCAAAATTCACTGAACTGTATACTTTAAAATGGTAAATTTTAATGTAAATAAATTATATCTTAATAAACCTGAATTAAGGGGGAAAAAAGACCTAGTGGGGCCTGCCCCATGGCTGAGCGATTAAGTTCGTGCACTCCACTTTAGCAGCCCAGGATTCACCAGTTCGGATCCTGGACGCAGTACTACACACTGCTCATCAAGCCATGCTGTAGAGGCATCCGACATAAAAGAACAGGGGTGACTTACAACTAGTATATACAACTATGTACTGGGGCTTTGGGGAGAAAAACAAAAAGCAGAAGGTTGGCAACAAATGTTAGCTGAGGGCCAATCTTCCTCACCAAAAAAAAAAAAAGGACTTAGCTAAAGAATCATGTTGTAATATGACCCACTGCTGCCTGGATCTTGGTCTACTCTTTAATTTCATGGTTTTGACAGCACATGGGAATCACCTGGAAGTTTTTAATAAAATAAGATGCCAGAGTTGCTGGGGGACCAGAGACACTGATTTAATTGGCCATGGGTCAGGCCAAGGCATCATATCTTTTTAAAGCTCATGGTGATTCTCAAATGTGCAGCCAGGGTTAAGAACCACTGATCTGCACAATAAGTCATTTGGACCAAGGAGATAGGAGGAGATAAAATAGGATGTGTAAATTTCAGAATCATAGAAGAGTTTTATAAATTTTGCCAACTCAATATTTATTATCTTGCTGATTTTTTGTCCTATTTCCCCCCAAAGGCCTGAGATACTCATATAAATGTTTTTATTGTGATGTAATTCACATACCATAGAACATCACACACCTTTTAGAGTGTACAATTCAGTGGTTCTTAGTATATTCACAAGGTTGTGTGGTCATCATCATTATTTACTTTGAGAACATTTTCTTTCACCCAAGAATAAACCCCATACCCATTAATAGTCCCTTCTCATTTCCCCCTCTCTTAGCCTGTGACAACCACTAATCTACTTGTTGTCTCTATGAATTTGCCTATACTGAATATTTAATATAAATGGAATCATACAATATGTAATCTTCTGTGACTGGCTTCTTTCACTTAACATAATGTTTTTAACGTTCATCCATGTAGCAGCATGTATCAATACTTCAGTCCTTTTCACGGCCAAATGATATTCCGTAATGTGCATATAGCACATTTTCTTTATCCATTCATCCACTGATGGAAACTTGGATTGTTTCCATTTTTTGCCTATTATGAATTTTGCTGCTCTGAACATTTGTATACAAGTTTTTGTGTGGATGTATGTTTTCATTTCTTTTGGCATTTACCTAAGAATGAAATTGATTGCTGAGCCATATGGTAACTTTATGTTTAACTTTTTAAAGAACTGTCAAATGGTTTTCCAAAGTGACTATACCATTTTACATTCCCACCAACAATGCATAAGGGTTTCAATTTTTCCGTGTCCTTTACAATACTTGTTATTGTCTGTCTTTTTTATTATAGTCATCCTAACAGGTGTGAAGTAATATCTTGAAGTTTTATTTGTGCTTCATTAATGATTAATGATGTTGAGCATCTTTTCATGTGCTTATTGGCCATTTGTATATCTTCTTTGGAGAAATGTCTATTCAAATTCTTTGCCCATTTTTTGATTGGATTACTTGTATTTTTATTGCTGAGTTGTAAGAGTTCTTTTTTTTTAAGGATTGGCACCTGAGCTAACAACTGTTGCCGATCTTTTTTTTTTTTTTCTGCTTTATTTCCCAAACCCCCTGGTACATAGTTGTATATCTTAGTTGCAGGTCCTTCTAGTTGCGGCATATGGGACACCGCCTCAATGTGGCCTGATGAGCGGTGCCATGTCCGCGCCCAGGATCCGAACCCTGGGCCACCACAGCGGAGTGCGCGAACTTAACCACTCGGCCACGGAGCCGGCCCATGTAAGAGTTCTTTATACATTCTGGATACTAGGCTTTTAATAAATACGTGATTTGCAAATATTTTCTCTCATTCTTTGGATTGTCTTTTTACTTTCTCAATAGCATCCTTGAAGCACAGAAGTTTTAATTTTGATGAAGCCCAATTTATTTATTTTTCTTTTGTTACCTCTGCTTTAGGTGTCATGTATAAGAATCCGTTGACTAATCCAGGTCATGAGATTTACAAGCTTTCTCCCAAGCATTTTTTCTATTTTCAGCTCTTATGTTTAGGTCAATGATCCATTTTGAGTTAATCTTGGCATGTGGTGTGAGGTAAGGGTCCAACTCCATTCTTTTGCATGTGGATATCCAATTGTCCCAGCTCCATTTGTTAGAAAGACTGGTCTTTCCCCCAATGAATTGTCTTGGCATCCTTATTGAAAGCCATAGTCATGTATTTTTTTAAAGTTTTACCCCTCCTCATCTTGAAGAAATTTTTACTTATTCTGCTGGCTGATTAAGAGCTCTAAGTCCAGTTGTCCATGTCTACTCATCAGCAGGTCCAGTGCTTAATGACTGTAACTTTTAAGTGCCAGGTTCCCACTAGGTCCTTAACAAATATTTTTTGATAAACTTATCTTGAGTTTAATCAATTTAGTAAACATAGCATAATTTGCTTCTGATCAAGTTCATTGGTCTGATCCAAGTGGATCTCTGATCAGCCAAAAGGACCAAATGACCTGTACACGTCAACATTCTTAGGATCAGAATAGTGGAAGAATCCTTGGGATGACAACTGCCTACCAAGCAGGAACACAATTTTGTCTGGGTGTTTACCTCTCCCCAATGTGACTCATGGTTAAATTCCGATTTATTTTAAGTTAATCATAGTAATTCCAGTCTCTATGACATGGTTTGATTTAGGAAAGGATGTTTGACCCAATTCTTTCCAATGAAGCTTCTGGAAAAGTTTTCCTCTATTGGAAGAGTTGGTCCTTCTTCAAAAGCTGTTGCCATTCGTGCCTAGAAAGTGGCAGCCATCTTACAGGCATGAGGGGAGATAAACAGGACAAAGGATGACAGAGCAGGAATATGGGAGAAATCTGGATCCTTAATGACATTCTTGAATGTCTGAATTAACCGACCCTGGTGTTTTCCTACCTTAGGACTTCTCATTATTGGAGATAATGTATTTCTTCATTATTTAAGCTGGTTGGGTCAAAGTGCTCTGTTATTTGTACTCAAATCATTCTAACCAATACAGACTTCATGACTTTTCACAGATAACGCCCTTCAGACTGCAAAACTTTAAGGGGACTGTAAAACTGAGTACAGTGACCTAGGGGATATGAAATTCTCCAAGGGGAGTTTTCAAATTTAGCCGCAGATGAAGCTGCCCTGACATCTGCAAGGAGACCTGCCCTCTAGGCTGATGATGGTGGGAAAAATATCCTACGTAAATTGAACTTCATCACCAACATTGGATCCCTGGCTTATTCAGGGAGAACAACTCATCTCTATTGCTTTTCTCAAAAAGGAATAGAGTTTTGGTGTTTAACATATTCTTATCCTCTAAAAATGTTTGGCTATGAAGGAAGTGATTTACATTCTAAGTGGAATGATGGCGTCTCAACGTCTTTGGATTGAGACGGAGCCATTGAGAGGGAGCCTCCCTGTTGGTAGTCATCCTTCCTCTGGCTGAGACCTCCAGCCAGGGCTGCTCACCACCCTGGTAGGAAGGAAATTTCAATCGTATGTTGAAGCCGGCACCTATGGGTTTTTGGGAGCCGATTATGCACATCTCTTCCTAACTCTTCCCAGCTCCACACTCAGTGACGTCACATTGATAGCTTAAAAATTAGCCACTGTGAGAGTACTTATACCATGGAAATCAGCAGAGAGCTTCTTGTCTCTGGAGAGCCAGCCATTAAATGATGCCAGCATCCCACTGGAAATTCCTCTCTTGGTCACTCTGGGGATTGGAAGTTTCTTCATACAAACAAGGTATTACAGCATCGCCCAAACTTCATGGCAGTAAATCAAAGAGAAGAGAGACACCACTGTTCGTCCCTGAAGATGACTCACTGATAAAAAAAAAAAAAAAAGATAGGAAAATCCAATCATTTTCTTTACAAACTGAGTCACAGCCTCCCATCTCAAATGTTCCCTCTCAGGCCAGGCTGTTCAGGCTTTTGTTTCTTTTCAAAAAAACTTTGATTCTCCCTAATAGCCTAACTGCCAACATTTTGGTTTCTTTTTCTTTTTTTTTTTAATTGCTGTTTTCTCAGATTACAGCAAGGCTGCTGTGTGGCAACTGATCCATTGCTTGCAAGGGCAAAGCCACGGATAATGACAAGGTCTGATTGTGAAACTGCTGAAGTCACTCATTTGAGGCCATCTGTGGTCTCTAGGAGATGAGTCTATGGATGGCTCCCCGAGTGACTGAGGGACAGCGCTCCCCAGGGTACCTCTGCAGACTGCCCTCCCTCTGGTCCTCTTTCCTCCCATCTCCTTCTGTCTGTATTATCCCGTATTGATCCCCAGCCAGGCCTTACAGGCTCTTCTTCCTCCCACTCCCTCTTTCCAATTACAGATTTGGAAAATGTAAAGTGGACAAAATTCATTGTCAACACAATGTTGTGCCCACTGGAGCCTAAAGCTGAAGACAAACTTTTTTTTTGAATTACGGAATGTTTCATACATACAAAAAGGTATAGAGAAGAGTATTATAAACTCTCGTGTATCTCTACCCAGCTTAGGAAAAAAAATGTTATAAACACCATTAAAGTCCCTGCATCAGCCCCTCTGATCAGATTTCCCTCCCTCCAAGAGAGAAACACTCCTGAAATTGAGACTCTCATTCCAGTGATGTCATTATACTTTTACTACAAAGGTCTATATGGAAGTCTAAACAGTATATAGAATTGGTTTGTATGCTTTTAAGCTTTATATAAATGGTATCATATATATTGTATATCTCGCTGCAACTTGCTTTATTTTTGTCAGTATTATCTTTTTATCCGTGTTTGTATTAGTTTTCTATTGTTGGGTAATGAACTATCACAAATGTAGTGGCTTAAAACAACCCACATTTAGTACTTTGTACTTTCTGTGAATCAGGAGACCAAGTGTGGCTTAACTGGGTCCTCAGCTCAGGCTCTCACAAGGCTGCAGTCAAGGTGTCTGGGTTGCACTCACATCTGGAAGCCTGACGGCGGAAGAAGCTGCCTCAAACCTCATTTCACTTGTTGGCATAATTCATTCCCTTGAGTCTGTGTGGCTGAGAGCCCTGGCTCCCAGAGGACACCCACTTCCCTGCCACATGGCCCTCCCTAGGCAGTTCACGGCATAGCAGCTTGCTCCATCAAGACCAACAGAATCTCTCAGGCCAGTCTGCTAAAATGGAGTCCTGTAGTGTATAAGACTTATCCTATCAATATTGTCATAGTCTATTGATTAGAATCAAGTTACAGGTTCTGCCTGCACTCAAGGGGAGGGGATTGCACAAAGGTGTGGACACCAGTTGATGAGAATTATTGGGATTGCTCTATCTGACTCTGATCTATTGGCCACAATGTTGATACATGTTACTCTAGTCCATTTATTTCTGTTGTGATGTACTGTTGCATTGTATGAATATACCACAAAAATCTACCCATTTGCTGTTAAGGATTATGTTAGGGTGAGTCCAATTACTTGCTATTACAATGTCATGTTTAATAATCTTTACGGGTCTCTTCTGTACATGGGAGAAAGTTTCTAGACCCTAAGGCACATGTCTTCAACTTCACTAGATATGGCTAAATCACTCTCCAGAATAGTTATGCCTACTTCCATTCTATCCAGAAGTGTGTGACTGTTCCCCATGATCCCACACATTCTCCGACTCTTGAAACTGACAGAACTATTATTTTCTTTTTCTCCCCATGGCCCCAGTACATGGTTCTATCTCCTAGTTGTAAGTCGTTCTAATTCTTCTATGTGAGCCACCACCAGAGCGTGGCAACTGACAGGTGGTGTGGTTCCACGACTGGGAACCAAATCCAGGCCACAGAAGTCACAAGCACCAAACTTTAACCACTAGACCATCAAGGCTGGCTCAACAGAATTATTTTCATATTTTTATGTTATAGGCAATCTGACAGGTCTGAGATGCTATCTCCTGGTTCTAATTTTTGTTTCTCTAATGAGGTTGAGTATCTTTTCATATGCTATTTTTTTTTTTCTCTTTTCTGGGAATAATCATGGATTGTTTGTATTTTTCTTACCAATTTATAGTTCTTTATGCATTCTGGTTCCTAATTCTTTGTCTGCATTGTTGCACTACTGATATTTTCTTCTTATTGTTGCTTCTCTATGAACTTTCTTTCTGGTATTTTCATATGCAAAAGTTTTAAATTTTAATTTGATCAAATTTATCAGTCTTTCCCATATTTATGACTTATTCTTTTTATGACTTGTTTAAAAAATATTTTCCTATCCTGAGGTCAAAAAGATAGTCGCTTATATTTTTCCATAAAAATTTTTGTTTGTTTTAACACATTTAGGCTTATAATATACCTAGAATTTACTTTTGTCCAGGGCATAAAGAAAGGATTCAATTTTATGTTATTTTCCTACGTGGGTCTCTAGTTGCTTTAGCACCAGCTTTTGAACAGGCCACGTTTGCCCCTCTAATATGCCATGTCATCGCTCATTTATCAAGTTTTCATATATGTGTTGGTTTGCTTCTGGATGCTCTATCCTGTTCCCTTGATCTATTTGTTTATTCCTGTACTAATATGATCTGCCTTAATTATTGTAATTTTGTAATAAGTTTCAATTTCCAAGTGGGCATACCCTATCATCTCATTCTTTGCTTCAAAGGATTTTTAGTCTATACTTGACCTTTGTTCTTTCACATAAACTTAGATTCAAATCGTCAAGTTCCATGAAAAGCCTTGCTTCGACTTGATTGGGGTAGTCCTCAATTTGTGGATTAATTTAGGGAATGTTATGGGCTGAAGAGTGTTCCCCTCAATTGTATATGTTGAAGTGCTTAGACCTAGTACCTCAGAATGTGGCTGCATTTGGAGATAGGATCTTAAAGAGGTGATTACGGTTAAATGAGGTCATGGGGTGGGCCCTAATCCACTCTGACTAGTGTCTTTATAAGAGGAGGAGATGACAACACAGACACATGTGAAAGTGTGGAGAGGCAGGGAGAAGAGGGTCATCTACGAGCCAAGGAGAAACGACCCCTGTTGACACCTTGATCTCAGACTTTTAGCCTTGAGAACTGTGAAAAGATTAATTTTCTGTCGTTTAAGCTGCACAGTCTGTGGTACTGTAATATCGGAGCCTGAGCAGACCAGCCCAGAGAGCATGGATATAGTCACAGCACGCAGTTTCCCTGACTACACACGTGGGCTCTCTCTCCATTTACGTAGATCTTCTGTCAACAACGTCTTATAATTTTCTCCGGAGAGATCTTCTATACCTTTTGTTAGATTTACTATAAGATACCTTATATTTTTGGTTTTATTCTCTTATTAATTTCCATTTTTCTATAGATTTTCACAAGTTTCTATGTAAATTATTATATCATCTAAGTAATGACAGTTTAATTTCCTTCTTTTCTATCTTTGTAATTTTTGACATAGTTGAATCGAAGCGCTGAAAGCTGGTGTCCTTGTTCCGATCTTGATTTTCAAGAGGATGCTCTTACAGTTTCAAAGATGTGTATTTTTCTGAATAGGTGTCACCACCTGGCTTCCTGCAGCACATGCTCAGTAAAGCTATCTCCAGCCCCTCTTTCTCTGGCCCCTTCGCCCTCCCTTCCATCCATTATAATTGATCTGTTCTGAGCCTCATGTCTTGAAAATTAAGTGAATTAATGTCGCGACTCACACTAAGATGCTGATGGCTGATTATCGATCAGATGGCACATTCACATTTTGGGACAAAAGTCTAGGCCCAAAGAATATATGTGGCTGTTGGGACTTGAACGCTAACATCTCTTCAGATCCCAACAGTAATGGAAGACATCCCAGGCCCCCTTTACAGCTCCCTGTTAAAAATACCACTTCTCTGGTACCTGCTCTCTGAGTGTCCACATCAGACTAGCTCAGATGCAACCAGGAGAAATTCCAAAGGAGGGGGATTTGATATGTCCTTTTATTTTAATCCAACTCTCCAGGTTCACACCCTAGTTGTACCACTTATTTGTATGGCCTCGGGCATGGTCCTTCTTCTCCCCTGTCTCAGTTGCCCGACCTGTGAAATGCGGATCATAGCAGCAACTGCCCACCAGTGGGATTCAATGAATCGGTTGTGTAACTTGTTGGGAAAATGCCTGGCCCATAGTAAGCAATTGATAAGCATGAGCTAAGCCTATGGGATGGCCACCTTTGTGCTGCCCTTCAGTTACTTAGGGGGTTTTTACATTTCTTTTCTTTTTCCTTAAAATCTCAAAATACAGTGTTTAAATGTCACTCTATCCCCCGTATGTTCCACCCTGTGGCCTGGCATGGAATACAGCTCTAGTTCATTTGTAAAATTCGTCCAACCCTGCCTGTTGACAATTACATTACTACTCTCCCTGCCTCTTTCTAGTATTTAGAGGTGAATGCCACTGGCTTCCATGCCAGTTTTCCACAATGAATGAAATGCTGAGCAAGAAGCAAGCAATCCTGAAAGGACCAAGCTGAACCCGACCATAGAGATGCTGGGGCACTGGGGGCACCCAGGCGGGGCCTGGTGTGCAGCCCCATCTCCTAGAAAGTCTAGTACTCTGCTGGGGGCTACGTAGGCCTGGTGAGGCCAAACACGCTCATGCCACAGTCATAGGGAGTGGGGGTGGGAACAGTGAATGACTGACTTCATTTCTTTTAGTCATAGCATCAAGCAATGAGATTGGGAGTGCAGAGAGCTGTCACTCTTGTTCAACGTGTAATTCCAAGAGCCAGCACCACACCTGGTACATACCAGGCACTTAGCAAATAGATACACGTTTATCATAATTATCCCCTTCATCCAGCCCCCATAAGGCGTAAGGCAGGTTCTAGACAACAATAGAGAGTTGATCAATGATGAGGATTTTTAG